TTTGTGGCACAAGATAGCTGCCGTACTTCTAAGAGGGACTCCCTTGTGCTTCTACTTCTCCCATGATATTCAGCCTTGCCTTCCTTTTAATGCCTGACACCAAAACTTGAGCAACTTCTATGATGGTAAGTATTTTTAAAGGCTCAAGACACTGGTTCTCCTCACCATTGCAATGAACATTAAAGGCTGATATTGTTTTCATCAGTAGCAAATCACAAACAAAACTGCATCACTTTGCCTGGACAGGTCAACTGGCTAATTGTGAGTATTTTCCTTTTCAGTCCATCATTATATGCTCATGTGCTATAAAAGCTCTTGTCTTAATCAAATCAGAAGTGTTATAGTGGTACCGTATGCAGGTACTCAAACTATACAGTTGTATATTTATACAAAACAATTTTTGCCTTCACTCCACAGCAACAAAAAAACCCACAATCAAGACCACTCAATTGCTCTTATAGGTACATGTGTAAAACTCTACATTTCAGTGACACTGAATGTGGAAGGAAGAATATCAGGATTTTTCCAGTAAATCACAGTATTTACTACACACTATGTGAAAAAGACTCTCTTTCAACAAGTAAACCTATGCTTATATGTATTCTATGAAACCACATCACTAATTTTCACATACCAGAGAAAACAGAGATGCTTACAAGGACAAGACGAAATGGGCACAAACTTGAGTATAAGAAGTTCCACCTAAACGTGCTAAACGTGAGGAGGAAGAGGCTGCCCAGAGAGGTGGTGGAGTCTCCTTCTTTGGAAACATTCAAAACCCACCTGGACAAGTTACCTCTAGGTAAACCCGCTCTGTCAGGGGGGTTGGACTAGATGATCTCCAGAGATCCCTTCCAACCCCATATGATTCTATGATTTCCAGCTCACATTGAGCTTCTCATCCACCAACACTCCCAAGTCCTTCTCCTCAGGGCTGCTCTCAGTCCATTCTCCACCCAGCCTGTATTTGTTGTGCCATGACCCAGGTGCAGGACCTTGCATTTGCCCTTGTTGAACCTCATGAGGTTCACATGTGCCCACCTCTTGAGCCTGTCCAGGTCTCTCTGGATGGCAGCCCTTCCCTCCAGCATGTCGACTGCTCCACACAGCTTGGTGTCATTGCCACCAGTAATCAAAGCACAGAAAGGTCCTCCAGACTTCTCATGCACCCCAAATTCCCCCAAATCTCTTAACTTTGTGTATGTATTTTAAAATTAGTCAAAGCTTCTGTGGACCAGAACTCTATTAAACACCAATTAGAGCTGTTTAATTACTGAGAGATGTTGCATATAGAAGAGTCAGAGTAGTCCGAATGCCTGTGCTGCATTTTCTAAATTGTATCCTGTTGGATTTATTTTCAACTGAACCCTAACACAGTTTCTTTCAGAGGCAGTAACAGGTCTAGGAATAATTACAACATTTGTAACAGTTTCACCACTAGTTTATTATGCACTCGGGCTTAACCCAAAATTTAATTTCTATCTGAGAAGGGGTAACACTGGTAAATTCACTCACAGGAACCATTGCATTCTGTACTAGCATCCAGTATCAGGAAATGAACATTCCCCTCTTACTTTGCAATTTGTTTTCTGCATGAACACTCCAAATAATAACAAGATTTGCAGTGTGCTCTTGGATTATAGCACTCAGCAGGGATGCTTTGGTTTTGGTATTAACAATCATTACAATCTCAATTTCCTTCAAATCAGTGGTGCCCTCAGTGCTTATAAAATTTGCTGTTCAGCATTTATGACACTTATTTACATTTCAGATTTTATGCAGACTGAAGTGGGAAGACTGTTGCATCAGTTTCAACACTTCTTTCAGATCTTCATTCTCTGAAGCCTCTATGTACTTAATAAATTACACTGTATTGCAAAAAATACTTTTCCTTCCTCTCTGATGTTCCCAGCTTCCCCTCCAATTTGATCTGCTAAAAAAAACCCAATAAAACAAAAGAAAAAAACCCAAAGAAACAAAAAAAAATTAAAAAGCACAAGATGACCAAACCCATAAAAACATATTACAAGATTACAAGTGAAGCATTTCCTCAATTAAGAAAGAGAAAATCCCAAATTTTGGGATGAGTGTCACTTGATAGAAATGAATATAGAACTCCCCTTTCCATTTCATTCTTCTCATTTGTGTTTTATCCTTATCCTTAACACTGCTGCTAAACTGAAATAATGCTTGGTCATTATACTTTAGCTTTATCTTCAAATTACACAATATTTCCTCATGCTGCTCCCAACAAAATTGTTTTTGTTTTACAGATGCAAGGAACCAAGGCAAGAAACACCCACGAACATAAAGCACCAGGTAATCAGAACAGGTAAGCCAGAGGTAGCTTTACATGAGCTGACTCACGTAAAATGCAGTACAGCTGGGTTAGTGTAGGTTCAGCCTTCCTGAATATTACTGAAGTATCAGAGAGACGATTCAAATCCAATTTTTTATTTATAATTATGCAGCCTAGCCATAAAACAAAAGCTTGAATAGGGTAACATTCCACAATTTTAATTTTGCCAAACTTCTAATGCACTTGCATGAATCATTTAGTCTTTCCTGGTCTCATTTTATCATTTCCTTCATCCCTTTCACACAGGATCTGAGATGTGATTAGTATTGAAAATTCATTTTAAAGTGATCAGATAAATGAAACAATAAAAATACAGTGGACAGCTGTATCATTTACTAAGTATGTCAAATTGTACCAGATACAATTTGTAATCTCTAAATCTGCAACCTAACCATTTATTTCATATGCTTCAAAATCTATTAAAAGACCCCAAAAAATTCCAGTTCTGTAGATGGACCAATTCACACAATCTACAGAATTACTCAGACCTAAACTGAGCAACAAAATTGGTATTACCATCCTTTTACTGCAACTTACGTATCAAAACTGTTTTGTCCTTACAAATCTAATTCTCATTGCTGTTGCTATCGTAAAGTATACTTTCAACAGAAGCAAAGTTCTCTTCTTGGTTTAGGAATAATTCAATTAAATTTGATTTGGACCGACAGGAACGTCTACTTTTTTTTTTAAAATGAGGTTCCTGCTGTCATGAGTTCTCCGCTTCAGGATTACAATCTGGAGTGATTTATGCAAATTCTCAAAATTTTTCTCCATGATATATGCTTTCTTTTGGTAGGGGTTCACAAATTGGATTTTATACGTCAAATATTGAAAAGGGAAAACTGAAACAGGTCAGTGTTTTAAATGTGATTGATTTCTTCAAAGGAAATGGGTGACATGATGCATTACTGCAATAAGATACTCATATTTCTGTTATAAATCATAGGCTTCTGCTGGGCCTTTTTCAATGGAAGTCATGCAAAACTAACTTGAACTGCTGCAATGGGAACTTTCCATAAAAACTTTCTTTTTCTTTTTTATAATGTTATTTTTCCCTCAATTTGCTTTGACAAATGGACTTCAGACATGACTGTTACTTTGCAAAAAACACTCAAGTCTAGAACGTATTATTAGGAAGTCACTTTTTTTCCTTCCACAACAAAAAAAACTATAGAGTTTGAAATGCTCTTGAAATTTGCTGCACAAATGCCAGGCTATGGGTGGTACCATTAAAAAGTGCAATACATGACAATCTTGATTCGGATTATTGGGTGGATGTTCTTGAAAAATAATCAATCTTCACCCCCTCAACAAACCACACATTCTTTTACTTCTTCACCCTATCAATAACGATCAATAGTCTTTCTGTGCTACAAATAGTCAAATGGGTATTAAATTCAAGCAGCGTGTAAGAATGTGCAATAGTAGACTCAGTCTCTTCATATAAACAGCCCAGAAAGCAAATTAGAAGCAGTATTAACTAATGACCTACGTGACGGTAGTCAGTCCTGACAGTTAGCGAAAAGACTGTAATAAAGAACCATAAGGGATAATTCTGTGACAGAACAACAACAGCAGCAGCAGCTAAAAAAAGTCTGGGAAAGAATGCCCAGCATGGCAGATTTATACACTATTTTCAGAGACAGTTAAAAAAACTATTAAAAAATCATATGTGGGTTTTTGCTTCAGCTGAAGGATGTATCTGAAACCATGTTAGCTGCATCCACTTGTCCTGGTTTCAGCTGGGATAGAGTTAATTTTCTTTCTAGTAGCTGCTGAGTTTTGGATTTGGTGTGAGAATGATGCTGATAATGCACATTGTATTAGTTGTTGCCAGGTGATGTTCTACATTAGCCTAAGACCTTTTCACCTTCCCATAGAAGCTGAGAGGGAGCATACATAGGACTAACTGGCAAACAGAATATTCCATACCATAGATGTCATGCTCTGCGGGGACATACTACATAAATGGGGGTTGGACGAGGGGCAGGAATCTGCAATCACTGCTCAGGACAAGCCAGGCAACCAATCACGGGGGAGTGAGAGTCACTTGTGTTGTATCACTTTATTTTGTATATTCTTTTACTATTATTATTGTTATTATTTTCCTTTTCCATTATTGTTCTATTAAACTGTCTTTAGCTCAAGCCATGAATTTTCCCCTCCTTTTCTCCCTCTTCTCCTTACCCTACTGGGGGGTGATTAGGGAAGCAAGAGAGCGGCTGCATGGTCCTAGTTGCTGGCTGGGGTTAACTATTGAAATAGTTATTGAAATATTGAAACATTGAAACTATTGAAATAACTACTGAAAATATTTTGGTATTATTTGATATTTGATATAGTATCAGACTGTTACAAGACATGTGAAAATGGAGATATATGTGAATAAATGAGTTAACAGGACTGTAAAGCAGTATGGTAGTAGAAGACCTAGGCCTCACCATTTATATTTCCCTACACAAATTTCCATATTCACATTAACTTAGATTAACTCTTTATTCTAAGCAGCAATTGCACCAAAATATTCTTCACATTATTTTCACATGGTGAAATGTGATTCTGGTTACTAAACATGGAAAAACCTTGCCCCGTGTCATTTTTATCAAAGGCTCCTTTAGTAGTTTTCCTTTGCACTTCTCACCTTAGCAGCTGGAATTGTAGAGAAGATAACTCTTTCCTTTGTATTAGCCTAAGTGTAGCTTGCTGAATGTCTGAAGAGAATAGCCAACTTCTGTCATTTGAACAGGGAGCATCAACCAGTACCTATATAACAAATAAGAGCAACTAAGTCAATTCACAATAAAGATATTCCCTTTCTGAACGCAAATTCAAAAATCTACTCGACTGACTTTTGCAAACACTTAAAACACCCTTTTCATTTTCCCTTTTAGGGGCAGAAATTATCTAATTATTATACTGAGATGTCTTTATGGAGTTTGGAGAGGAGGGACAGGAAGAAGAAAAGAATAAATTACTACTCCAAAAGTACCCTCTACCGGAATAGTTTTCACTTGTTTCCCCCCCTTCCTAATTACACAACATGCAAAGAACACAACTACAAGGTCTTCAGAATTCACTACCAAGGGTAAATGGGTAACAACATCTAACACATCAACAAATGCACAGTAGGCTCCATAAAATGATTCCTGAGGCTCTGCAAATCCTGTACATGATCTTGGTTCTCCTTGATAGGTCAGAATTTTTTGCACGGGACAGAAAAAAAAAATTAAGAAGAAGAGAGCATCATAGGTAGAAAGAGAAGCACAATGCAGAAATACTATTTGCTAATAAGTAATAACGTTACCTTGTCATATAATTCAGGCTGAAGATCTCCAATCTGTCTACCATCCAGTTTAGAGACCTTTATTAAGTTACTCAAAGGATCTGGGATGAAGGATTCCATTGTCTGTTTCAACCATCTTGTCCTCAAATCATCATATTCGTTACAGTGAAACTGACCTTAAAAAATTAAAAAAAATGAACTCAACACACTAAAATAAGTCTTCATACGTCTTCTGTTTTGGTTTAGGTTTTTTTTACAAATATAAGGAACTACACTGATTTCAGAAGATCTACTGTTTTGCCATGACTGCCATAGTTTACACCCTGTGTGCTAATGTTATTGCACATTTTATAACACTGCCCAATTTTTTATAAAACTAATTAAATTTCAACATGCTCCTACTGAGTAAGCCATACATATTTACTAGCAAATAGTTACTGTAGCGATAGACTTCCACAGTAAAACAAACTTTAAACATAATCCATATCCAAAGACTAGTGCTAAGTGAGTGCCTTTCCAGGCTCCTTGGGCCATTGTCTAAATGAAGTATGTGCCCCTTATTAATTAATTGATTGCCTTTTAAATAAACAAAACACCAGTTTTGTGTATCCTGAGCCAAGCAGTCCAACCCCTCATTTATTTGAAATTCAAGGTGAAGGGTTTTAACAAAAGCCTTTTGGTTGCACTTACTTTTAACAACGTAGTCAAAGTAATTATCCCTTCAGAAGAAAAACTACTGTTGCTTGTACCCAGACCAGAAACACAGCATGATATTTTTTCCCTCTTACTCCTGTTTCCTGAGTTAATAAAATTTCTATTTTCATGTCTCCACAGGTTGTCCTGCACCATGTTTGCCACACACAATATGGTACATCTTAGCATTCACTGAGGTATATTAAGAATCAACTTCCTTACACCTTACGTTCCCAGCAACAACTTGGTTATCTTCAGAAGCAGCCATGCAATAAGAGTGGCTTTTTTTTTTTTTTTCAAATCTTTTGAAAGGTCAATCCACATTTAATTTACCTCAGTGGCATCACCTCATTCCTCTAGAAGAGGAAGGAAGAACTAGCTGTAATCAACAAGCGCAGGTAACAGTCTCACCAGTAAGAACATAAGGTGCTGTGGACATTCTGAGACAATTACTGCCCCAGCTAACATATAAATTTGGAAACAGCAATCACAGCTTGCTTTAACTCCTTGGCCTGGAAGAATTGAGCTGCTGCTTGCTGTTGCCTTCTAAACACTGTGATGATCTTAGTGCCCTTCTGCAACATCTAGGTGGACTGAGACACAGAGCTTATTAAACACTAATATAGACCAATTCCTCATCATAAGCTTTCTACTTCTACCTAGGTCTTCAACGTTTAATTTATTATGCTCCGTTTTACATCAGTACACTTAAATTTACTTATTCTATTTGTATAACACTGGGCAGAGAGGTAGCAAAGGAAAAAAAAACCAGTACAAGTATTCTAAGACTGCAGATTACTCACCTCCCTGTGCCAACAAATCCACATGATCTTCAGTAACTTCTTGAGAAGAAACAATAGAGGAGCCAACGGAGGAAGAAAAATAGAGCTACTCTATTTGTGTCTGTCAGTCTACAGTAGCCTATATTTAAATAACTACTGCATTTTTCATCCTCTTTTAAGTAAACAGACAAAAAAAAATCTTACTAAACAGCACAGAACTACTTGGAATAGAAACTGCTGGTTTTTCCCCCAATCCAAGTCTTGTAGAGAAAACAAGCACAACTGAAATAGCCCAGGCAGAGTGCCAGGGATCAGCTTTTAACAGCACCTCAATACATTACCTGGATAGGCACACTGCAGGATAGCTACTGATTTACCCCCTGGTGCAGCACAGAGATCCAAAACGTCTTCCCCATCTTTCACTTCTAAGGCCAGCACTGGCAACAGCGAAGCAGCGTTCAGCAGATAATACTCCTTCAGTTTACCAGCCTGGTGTTTCTGTGCAGGGAATCTCCCGGGAGTTGTCCTGATGTAACACTTCAACGATGCTGGAAGATAAGGCAAAGGTCCTCGGAAGGCAGGATGGTATCCCTTCACACACAAGGTGTTCTCCAGTTCAGCAGACTGGCTGAACTTGTTAAGCAGGACAGCGTACTGCCAGCACAACGGGTCCGTGAGTACATCCCTAGATTGAGAAAAGGAAAAGCTATTTAATAACTTGGAAAATAAAATGAGCTCTCCATAGCGTAGGAAGCCTTTTCTTATGTGAGTGTAGCAATCTCACCGTTGGATGATGCTGGTACAATCAAAAAGGAATCCTTTTGATTAGATATGATGAAGACAAGTATGCAGGAAAACAATTTTAATAGGAAACCAAGCCACCGTTTTCTCTAATTATTGCATTTTAAAAACTAATTTCTGAAAAAAATGTTCTCTATTTTTCCTAATTCTTTAACAAATTACTGTAGAAGTTTTAAATTATGAAGCATAATGGTCTTTCTGACTATAAAGTACTTCCCCTAAGGACAAAGAACAACTGTAATATTAGTTGCAAACATCACAACAAAAAGAATCACATTGACTTTGCAATGGTTATTCTGGTCAACACTACAAAATGCAGTTTTTTCAAGTGTTCTTTTCTAAATTTCCTTTTATGTTCTGCAAACACTGGGCCAGAAAACTTAAACTGATGGATACTCCTGGAGGACAGTCAAAAGGCAGTGCTTATATTGTAGGAACATGCTTGTTCACATTTCAGTTCACTTTTTCAGATCTTTCTTGCATGGATTTGCCCCATTTTCTATTTGAATTTCTCTTAATATTTTTCACTTAGCCTCAAAAAATACTCTTTGGGAACACTCACTGCCTAAAAGAGAAATACGCATTGATCCAACTTAAAAGTTTTCAGTTTGATTCACTTAAACTAATGCTATACATCTATGGTTGTTGCGGTGGTTTTGTTTTTAACAAGGGAGGAATTTATTTTAAAATACCTTTTAATCCAAACAGGCTAAACCAAAGAGGGCACTCAGAGGAATCACATGGTTTCTAGGACTCTGATCACATAAGATGCCTTTCCCTTCAAAGTAAGGTGGCACTGATCATGGGAGCATTCCTCATGCACTTCAGGTGAAAGTCAACTGCTTTTGTTCAAATTCCTGTCGAAAAGTACATAAGCTAAGCAGTGAACTCCAGGAGGGCTCTTCTGATGGCTCTCCTATGAGCAGCAACCACCACCAGGGAAGATGTGTCCTCTCAATACTACAGTCAGCTCTTTAGCTGCTGTGTGATCAAGGCCCTAATTAAGTGATAGTCTTTTCTGTACATGCCATTAATATTCAATTTCTTCTAACAAAAGTAATCAGAGGATGTAATTCTCTCCTAACATCTTTGTCCCAGCCTCTCAAGATACTATAAAGCTGTAGGAAAAAAACACTAACAGCAACTGTTAAATATAAAGGAATAATTTTTAGACTATGTTTTTACAAAACAGTCAACAAACACAGGAGACAGCAGTCTCTTTACAGTGTATATGCATACAGGAGAACAGAAACTTCATCATGCCCAAAACAATCATGTCAAGGAAAAACCTAAAAAATTCCAAGTTTTAGCCTTCTGTTATTTCACACTTTCATGCTAGTTGTAAACTGAAAATAAACTGAAACAGTTCTTACAGTCCATGACTCTTTTCAAATGTATTTCATGAAGCACTTAATAACAACCTCTTCCCTCCCTCCCCCATCTCCCCAAAACAACAGACCTGACACTGGTCCACGTATCTCCCAGTTCCGTTGTGTACTGCTTCTCAAAATGGTCCAGAACAACTTGACAAATCTGCTTTTGAAGTTTCTCTTTTGTTTTATTTTCCAGCTTCAGAGGAAGGAGGAAAAAAAGAAAAGTCATGGAAACAAATAAATGAAACCCTTCGTAGTTCTCACTGGGATGATTAGAAAATTTTATTGATTTAAATCAACTTAGTATCACCGACACTAGGATGACCAAATATCAAGGTCACATCACACATCTGATCAAGACGTAACTGAAGTTCTGGAGAACAAACAAGTTAAGCTACTCTACTCTCTTCTTCCCTACCTGGGAAGAGGTCATTCAAAGCTTGTCGGTAATAATTCCTCTCTGTACCCACTATGCTAATACCGTGGGGCCTGGGGCTCTGCTATACCAGGTGCAACATAAGCAACACCTGATTATCCTCATGCACCTTGATCACCTCTGCCAGGATGTACCCGTGTGCTTAACTAAAAGAAATAAGTTAGCTGGAATTCCTGTGGATGTCAGCTGGAGTTGAGCCGCAAAGCACTGCAATAACTAGTTTATTCCAGAAGTAAAAAAAAAAAAAAAAAATCGGGTATACTGTTGGTGCGTTTTCCTTTTTTTAACTTACGAAAAATTTATAACGGGGGCTGGGAGGGGGAGAACTTTTTGTTTGTGCTATTCGGAGGGAAGCCCCGAAGGTGCTGCTGGACGTCCCTCCCCCCCAGCCGCCGGCTCTGCCCTCCCTTCGGCCCAGCGCCGCTCCCCGCCCCACGGCCGCAGCCGGTAAACTCCCGGTTACTTCAGTCACCTCTTCATTTCTTAATTAAACGCCCGCAACGCACCTGCGGCTCACATTTCTCTATCTTTAACGGGAAGCGAACCCCATGTCGGAGGGCGGCGCTGCCTCCTCAAGGCGGCGGGGGGGGGAACGGGAGGGGACGGGGGGACACCGCGGTACCAGAGGCACCGCCGACGGCGAGTCCGAGCAGCCTTCCGAGCAGAGAACAAAACCCGGTGATTCTCGCCATTTTTTCCAGAGGGGACGCGGGGGTTACAAACGGGGTCCAGCCGCGGCCGAACGGGACCCCGGCGCTGGTGACCAAGGGGCATCGCGTCTCCTCCTGTAGCTACAAACGCCGCCGGGAGCGTTAAAACACCCCGAAACCCCCGACGCCGCCGTTTCACACTCGGAAGCTTCGCCTCCCAACGCACAGAGGGGCCCCTCCGCGCTGCACCCCCGCAAGCGGCGGCGGGGCCCGGCAGCGGGGGCTACTCCCGCACCGCCGCACGGGCCCTGGCCCGCCGAAGGGCGCGCAGGAAGGGGCTGA